GTAATGATAGGAGGCTAAAGGTGTATGTGAGAAGAAACAGACGGGAGAAGTAGTTAGTTAGTTAGTGGGTCAGTAGCCTAACTGTTTTATCAGTTAGGAAGGGAGATGTATCTGTTAGGAGGTCAAACTTGTATAAATAGCTAGAGAGGAGAAGGATAGGGACTTTTAGTAAATTCTTGTATCTAAATCAGACTTGTAGTCTGCTTGGGGGAAGATTAGGCTTCCACGTTCCTATATTCTTGTATTCTTTCTTGTTTCTCTATAAATCAGAGGAGGTAATTCAGTATTCTGGTGGATTCTGTGTGAGTTAAAGTGTGGGAAGGTTATAGGTTTCATTACTCGAGACCTATCAAAATATTAGCTGTGGCTTGAGCTAGACTTCTATATTCTGCTTCAGTACTTGACCTGGCAACCACCTGCTGTTTTCTGGACCACCAAGAGATTAAATTTGGACCTAAGTATATACACCTGAGTTTGATCTATGGTCATCTGGATTTGATACCAGTCAATGTCACAAAGACCCTAAACACAAAAAGGTGTGTTTGAAGTAACTGGTTTTAGATGAAGCTCATGATGCATCGATCTTTGTAAGAATCTTAGAATTCTTTTTACTGCTACCCACGGAGACTAAAGCAATATTTGCCACAAATTGACAAACTTTGCTGACAACAAAATCTCTTTTAGTGCCGTTTTTCAGTGGATTTAGGTAGGATCAGTAGAAAACCTTTAGAAACTATTTAGAGAGAATGTGAGCAAAGAGAGAAACAAATTGAATCTTTTATTTTCTGAATGAGAGGTAAAATAAAGAATTTATAAAGTGAATAGGTAGTTACAAACTGCTACTGACACCTGGCATATTGTAACTGACAGATGTTAATAGTAACTATACTAATAAGAATAATAAACTATCAAGCAGATACAGTTGAGAACTACTGCTCTTTAATAGAACTCTAATATATCTGTTTTGCAGGATCAGCTCCCCTGTTGTCCTTTCCTTTCTCTCTAGTAGAAAACAACATTTGTTTTTTGGTAAAAATCTATATCAAATTGTTTCATCTACTTCTCTGATAAAATAATGTTAAAATATATAAGCCATAGTTATGGTGGGAAGTGAGATGTTATTATAATGCAAACTGCATGGTTTTTACTGCTAGTATGCAAAGCAAAATGAAAACCGAAAATTAAAGAAATTCATGATAAATAAAATGTCTCATTTTACATAGTCGCCATTATTTTAGGACAATAAGAATGTAATAAAATGATTGATGAGGGTGAATTTAATAGAAAAAGGACATAGATTAGATGAAAATAAGTAGAATGTGAATGGGGAAGTTTAAGTGAAGAAGACAAAATCGAACTTGATAAGAAAGTAGTCCAAGTATGAAGGAACAGAGGTCAAAATATAACTTTTTGAGGATTGGTTTAGGATGAAGGGTTTTAAATCCTATTTTGTTTCTTGCTAAAAAGTGCATTAAAAATTGGTGAATAAATCACAATTTTACCCACAAAAAGTCCCTAGACAAGATCACATGAGTGAAAAAGGGGTGTTGGAAGCCTATCATGGTATTGCCACTATAGATATGAATTTCTGCTATTACCGCTCCATATTGTGAATCCCTTGTAAGCTATGAAGCTCAGGCACACCATAACAATGGGGCTTCTGTGTTAGACTCCCGTGGTACATGCTACCTACACACGTATGACACTGCATCGGATACAGTGTGTTGGGCCAGACATGATCATGCCCTCTGACATGCTGGAGATGACACGGTCAGATTCTTTGACATGCTGTATAGACACACTGGACACAGACAATGACAACTCCCAGTGTGACCTTGCCCATGACAGCAGTGGAACAAGCCGAATCCTGCAAAGTCTGAAACTTTTTCCTCTCAAGAATGAAACTCAGATTAGATTTTAGTGGGGAAATTGAGAGATTGTTGTTATTGGTGCAAGAAAGTGAGTGGCGTGAGCTTGGGGGGTAAGGAAAGAGAGGTGAAATGAAGTAAGACAGACAGACATCAATCAGTATTAAACACAATAAAAAGAAGTTAAAACTTGGAAAATTATTGTAAATATTTATCTGTGAGCTTATAGAAGATTTGATAATGGTTAAACCAACAAATCTATTAACTTCATTAGGGTTGAGTGAAAATACTGAAATTGACCTCAATCTTTTACAAATTTATGTAAAACTTCACTTTTTTGATAAAAAAAAGGTAGGAATCGAGATGATTAGTTAATATACGTAGTTTCCAAACCAAAATATTGTAAAAGAATTGGCTCATTTTTTTATTTCTATAAATTATATGTGTGTGTATATATATATATATATATATATATATATATATATATATATATATATATATTGCCTTGTGCGTCTATATTTTTTCAATTTAACCGCATCCCTGTCCGTTTCGTATCCGTATTTGTGCTTCATAGCTCATAAGCCTAGGGTGCTATACTCAGCTACTTATGGATCACTACTGACTACTATGATCTAAGCCCAGGTTGTACTATTATATGTGAAACAATTTGATTTGTGTTGTTGGTTGTGATTAATGTGTTTGAAAAAAGAGTTTGAGATATTAGGATTGTCTCTTATCCAGTGTATACTTTCTTATTTTGAACCAGATAGGTGGCCTAGTTGCCATGCTGGCATCTTTATACCTGTTATCAGAAGGATGGGCTACTGCAACGTATTCTCCATTCTATATCCTCACTCAGACTGTTATTTTTATCTTAAATTCACAAAGTTTTCTTCTAAAATATCTTTTATTCTATTTATTCTGTCTTCTCTGTCAACTTTTTCATACTTTTCATATTTTCCATAAATGTTGTAAACTTAACAAGAATTTACCTTGGGAAGATCGAGATAGTTCTGAGTCTCAGACTGAACCAGTTTTGGGCCTGAAGTTAATGTTAATACCTATAATTGCTGGTATTCTATCTGCACTTAGGAGAGTCATTGCTCGGCGTGTTTCAATCAAGGTGGTAACATTTATGTAATTAGCCCTTCATACTTTGTGTTTGGTGCGTGGTTCTTTGTGTGTTTCCATAACCCAGAACATTTTTTTCCTTTCAGAATCAACTTAAAAGGCGGCTCCATGGCTTAACCATTGCTTCTGCAACATGTTTTATGTTTCCCATCGCCATGTGGGACATGATCATAGTGAGTTCTATGTAATTTTCACTTTAAGGTCTATATTAGATATGGCTATGTCTTCTATGGAATTCTTGTATTGTTTGTGATTTTGGCTTGTTTGACATTTGGCAATTGTTTCTCACTTCTCTTTTGGGTCCTTCAGGGCTCATTATCTGAATCTGATAACAATAAAAAGTTGCCGTTCTCTGCTTGGGCCTTCTTCAGCACTATTTTGTTTGGAAACATTGTGATATTCTATGCTGACAGTATTGCAGAGGAGAGGTATGTCATGAATGATGATAATCTTGCCATAAGTAAAGGCTACTAGAGTACTAGGATGTTTATGCATTTTGCGTTTCATATGCTCTTTAGATTGTCAGAGAAGGTTCTATAAAATAGCTATTAAGTAATGGCATCGCAGCAGTAATATTCGCCCAATTGCCATGGGAAAGTATTATTCAATTTTTAGTTTTATGAAATTATAATCCTTGTGTAGAAATTAGTTGACATCTATCTATCTGTCTTCATTAAATGACAATGAAAAACTTCATTTTAAATTCAAAGTTGATCTGGTATGCTCTGAATTATATTTGGATTTTGATGTTGTGAATTAGCTCATAATCTCCTTTGTAGATTGCATATGGTTTTCTCCTCACCAAGGCATTTAGCAGCAGCTAGTGCATGCATCATCATAATGGAGAATGTGTACAAGATGGATTTTTCTCTTGCAGGATTCACAATTTGCTGCTTAATATTAGGTTTTGGTATGTTTAGCAGTTCATTTTGAATATTAATGTTCTCTTTAAATTTTGCTTTTCATGGATTGTTTGCTGAACTGAACTTGTAGATGATAATTCTTTGTCAAACCTTTCCAACTATTCATATTTTATTTTTAATTTATTTTTTATATATTAGGGTTGCACACAGTGTTATTTATTTATAAAAGGAAAATACAAGGAGATGGGCCTAAACCTGTTACATCTAATAGCTTTAATAACAGAAATATGATAAATTGAATGGGAAACATCTAACAGGTTTCAAGTTCTCTCACTTTTAGTAAAACTACTTGATGATGTATAGTGCTTATAGCTTACTCATGACCAAGGTGATTTTTTAGCCACTGTCCATGACTGTTTCAAGGGTCTAACTTGGAGATAGATCCAGCAGCCCTGCTGCATTCTTAGTTTTTACCTTTCCATTTTCTTCTGTTGTTTTTTCCTTAGTTTTAGAGGAAATATTACCCATTCCCTTATTTTACTTATTCTGTCTCTTCTGTCTGATAAAATGTTTTTCTAAAATAAACAAACATGACAAAATTGATAAATGTTAGTGTTTTCAATTTGCTTTTCTTACGAAGTTCATTCGGAAAGAAAAGAAGTAAGTTATATTAAAGCAAAGTTTAAAGGCTGTGTTTGATTTCTGTTTCGAAAACTGTTTTGAGTTTGAAAAAAAAAAAAGTAAATAGACACCCACAGACAGCATATTACTCACCATATGCAACACCACTCCTGATGACCGATTCTTGAGCTAGGACCGCTAAGAGAAAACATCTCCCAACTCTTTGATGCAATTTTCAAAACTTAATAAATTTTGGACAAGAAATTTATTGCCAAGTAGTATTAAATTATTTAGCAAACTTTCGTGGAAACCAAAAGGTGAGAAGGAAATCAAACTGACCCTAACTTCTTTATATAAAAACTCGGCTTCTCAGATTCCTTATACATTTGTTTCATCCCCTGGAATTTAAATGAAACATATATATGTTGGTTTTTTCATTGCCTTCTCTTAATAGTAATAACCTGATTTCATCGGAATATAAATTTTATGGCTTTCTTGTTTTTGTTTTTCTCTTTTAGTAGTTAATCTTAAATGCTCAATGCAATTGAATTATGTAGGGATACACGAAGCAACTTCATTGGAGCTCAGTAGAAAAGATTCCATTAAAAATTCAGATTCATCAATTAGAGAATTTGATGATCCAATCCAGATGTCACCCCTGCCTACTTGATGTATGTGTAATTTATTCCTTCAACTTATTATTAAATATGAATTTATTGCCAATTGTTTGTTTGGTCCATGTGTGAGTGGGGTGCATATCTATGTCGAGCTTCTTCTTAATTCGATTGACAGCAATTTTTTATGATGAGTTGATACTGATTCTTACATGGTGCGAGGCTGATTACCAGTTTTTGTAATATCTGTTGTCTGTTTAATGTTCAATGTGAACAATAAGCATATGAACATCTAAAAATATATAGGGATATAAGTAGGAATATTAAGAATTGATAGAGAACGAGAAAATTGCATGATACAAACTGGTATAGAAGAGTGTTAGCAGCACACTTTCTACCACAATTTATTTAATATACTATTACTTCACTATTGGTTGAAATTTATTGAAAACTATAAAATCAGCACAACAGTCATTAAACAGGAAGTGAGAACAACCAAAATTTGTGGTTTCCAATCTCTTTGAAATACTTTCTATGTTATTGGTTGAAATTGATTGAAAACCTTCAATTTTGGTGGGTCCTAGGTTTCATTAAATGACTCTTGATTTTGGTAGATCGTAGTTAATTTAAACCAATAAAAGAGTGTTTGGAAGAAAGATTTAATAACACTGTCTCTGTTTATCTCAAGGTGTCTTGGTTTAGTATGTGTTCAGTATTGGTTCACAAAAGTATGAACTCTGTTGACCCATAGTATCATTTTGTTGTGAACTAGTTTTTGCAGACAAGATGTTATATGTTGTGAAGATGTATTTTGTTGAACACCACTTTTTGGAAGCTCCAGCATCTAGTTTGCTACACACCAAATTCTTGATGATTGATCTTATCTTTGTTGGTTTGAGAACCAATTTTGACCTACAAAGATCATTAGTAGTCTGCTAGTTTATTGTGTAGTTTAGGAGTAATTTTCCACCATGAAAAAAGCAGCAGCATTGTTCCTGGTCCTGGTAGATGTTCTTTGAATCTTGTTATAATCGAATCATCCAAATCAGCTAACCACACTTTGTAATGAAATTATGAATCTGCCAATCTGTTGGTTTTTCCCTGTATATTATTTCCACTCTTTTTCTTTCTCTTTATTTCCTCAGAGGCATATCTTATGATACCCATTTACAATGTTTGTATGATGATGGATCAGAGTTATCAATGTTTTTAAGACCAAATCAGTGGTAAAAACATTAGTTAATAGTTCGACTGCGGTTAAACCGGTATTAATAAAAAAGTTTGTAAATAATATTTACTAAATATAGTATCATAATTTTATAACACTAAAATCTATAATAAAATATCATTTTACTAGACGCTAACATCCAAAGTATATATAGAAGATAAAATCAAACAAATAATATTTAAATTTAAATTTAATAAATTATGACAATATTAATTAAAAGTAAAAACTTTACATCTAGAAGAAAATGATAAACTAATATAATCCAAGATTATAAAAATAATGCATAACAAATAAAAATTAATATAAATGAGTAAATTGATGTTTTAATAAAGTCATTTATACCTATTTTTGCAATTTTTATTAAATGATATTTTATTTATGTTATAATATTTTATTATATATTTTTAAAATAAATTAAATATATTTTTAGTCTTTTTGAACTTTGATATTTTGATATATTTTAGTTTGGTTTAAACTTTCGTATAATTTTCATATTTGTTAGAGAATTTCAAGTGGATTATCATATTTGTAACTCTTTCAATTGGGTCCAAATATTTAAAAAATTGAGTTAATTAAATCTTTTTTTGTTAAGTTTTCACATACGACACGGTGACGTGGTGCACTAAAAGATATATAGATGTTGAATTATGTTATGAAAATTATATAGAAATAAAAGATATATTAATTGAGAGTTGAAAAATATCTTAATAATAAATCTGTGCACTAATAAAATGATTTATTACAAAGAAGAAAATATTCTTAAGGTATAAAAAATGAAGAACTGCAAATATGAAAATATTTATAAAGAACGTCTTAAAGATTATATATATGTACTTGTGCCACAACGATATCTACAACTATAACATGATTTGAAAATGGAAGAAATTCATATTGACGACAAAATTCGGGAAAGGAAAGAGGAAGTAAATCAAGAAGGGAAGTAACAAGATGCATGAAGATGATCAAGACTTTCCCTAGGAAAGAAAAAGAAAATAAAAAAATATTGATATGAAGAGAAAACACATTTTTTAACTTCGTACAAACACCAAAACAAAAGACATGCTAGTTTCCCTTATCTACTAATTATTTCTTTTAAAATGGTTTCTACCTTTGACACCAAATTTTTTCATTAAAATGGTGTCTGATGATTCTGATGTTGCCAAGAAGGTCTGGTAAAAATCGAAAATTTGCCACAACTCAAGAAGAACTGTAGAAAACATTCTATGAAAGATAATTTATGCACTTGAGATTGAACTATTTACTAATATATGATATTTTGATGGAGGAATTCCAATGACAATTACAAATTTAAAAACATGAACATGAATTTATGAAATTCTTAAACTTAAAATAAAATTCTTGTTTTGTTATGTGGGAGTGCAAGCATGTTCCCTCTATAATCCACGCTTGTTTTCTCTGCCACTTTTAGTCGTTGCTTTGGTGATGACATGAGTAAGAACACCAATAGGGCAAAAGAACAAGCACAGAGAAACTGAATGCCTTGTCTCAATCTGATTCTCAAGTCCATCCAGAAAAACATGTCTGGATTTAGAGACACATATGTCAACAAAATGAATGAGAAAAAAGTTTAGCAATATTAAACATGATCATGGAATTATATGAACGAAAAAAAAGTAGAATATTATTGACTAATTTTGGTTTTGGTCTTTTATGTTTTATTTGTTTCTTTTGGTATTAAGGAGGACAAAAGCCAAATTGGTTATGCATGGATTTGTTTATCCATGGACAGCTCCATTATATCCCTAGATAAAAAATATAAACTAGGAAGCATGAGGAAACTTACATTCCTACTTAACACATAAGCATGATCTAAAAAATTTAAATGTTATTTCCTAAATATATGAAAAAAAAAAACAATTCCAAAACCCTAGTTTATATATTTCAGATAAAGTGTATCATTAGCTAATAAGGATATCTTCCGATCACAACTTTTATTCACAAGTTGAATGAACAACATGACTCTGGTAAAGTGTTAATAATAGAAGAGATTATCAAAGTAATTGACTTGTTTATTTTGTTTCTTTAGTTCTTCAACAAGATTCAAAACATTTTTTATAATCATTGTACAACAACAAATTGAAGAGAACTAATTGTCATGATATAATTTTGTATTGTTAACAAAGTCCTTTTGTTACAAATCATTAATAACCTTATTCTTCTTCAATTTCTTGTCAGTTGCTCTTTCTCTATTATCTTTATACTTTCCATATATGTCACAACTTATGTTATGATTGATGACCATCAACTCTTTAACTTTGAGCTCAAATATTTCAGAGTGAAATAATTTGAGTCATCTTTTGCTTACAAAAGCTTGGTCCTCTCTTTTCTTCTATTCAATAATCAAACTTTCATCGTTCATTTTGATGATCATCAAATCACTTCTAAATGAATAAAATATTTTACACTTCATTTCTTTCAAAAGCTAGAAAATAGTTCTTCTGTATCATCTTTCTCACACTTAATAGATTTTAACTCAATTCAAATACAAATAGATTATCTAAAATATATTTTGTACTTGAAGGAGTCTCAATAGTAAACTCGTCAATTTGGTCTCCTAACATGGTTTGACCCTGACCCACGTGGATTGAGGCCAAAAAAATCCGTTGGGTCAAAAAACTCTCCATAGAAAAAGCCCACAGGACTAAAATATCTATAAAAGTCCTATGGGTCAAGGCCAACCCATAGGCCTTTTTTATAGAAAAAATGTAATTAATTCCTCATTTGAAAATCTAAGTGTTTTTAATTTTTCAAATAATTATATACAAACATTTTAATAGACTAAATAGATTTCGTAAGAGATTTCAATAAATTTGATTGTTTGCTTATAATATAGTAACATAAGACGTTAAAATCCTTGACTAATTAAATATATTTAATTTTCCTTAACTTACTAAATATATTTTTAAAGTATATAAGATAGTTATTTAATGCAAAAACTTCATGTGCATTTCTCATATATATATATATATATATATATATATATATATATATATATATATATTTCAATTATTCTTTATGTTGACTCATTCACTTCAAAATATATGTTTTACATCATACATAGAAAAATAATATAAAAAGTTATCTTTAACTCAAAAGTTTAAAATATTATTTTGTTGATTTTTTTTATATATTATGTTTTAACATGAAACTTCTTTCTTTATGCTTAAATTTATCATCATGTTGATTTTCTTCTTTATAGAATTAAAAGAAACTAAAAAACTATTAAAATATTATAAACAATACATAATATATAAAAAATCAATGATTTACCACAATAAAAAAAATTAACTTCTTATTAGCTAAGCAAATAATTTATATCTTTTATAATGTTTAGTTGATTTTAAAGAAATTAAAACCTAACTAAGATAAAGAAAATTAATTTTATCTATTTAACATTAAGATTTTTCTTAAAAAGACTACATTTGGTTAAAGAATATGCTAGAAGTAATAACTCATGTTTTTTTTTCTCTTTTTATACAAAAGTTAGTGTAAGATCCAGGAAAATAAGAATTTTAAAAATAAAGTAGTTTTGAGACTTTGAGTTTTTGTTTGGAAATTAGTATTCTTGAGTGTATATTTTGTTAGAACATAATTGTTATGTTATTTCTTTATTTTTATATTTTTGTCTAGGGGCAAAAATGTCTTTTACCTTTATTTAATTGGTGTAGAAATTAATTAAGGGGTGATTTGGTGTTTAGAAACCCTATAAATTCTAAATCAAAGAGAGAAAACAGAGGAAGAGAGAAGATTGACGTTTTGAGAGAAAAGGAGAGAGAGTGACAAGAAACTCTTAGTGTAAAGGAAGATTGGTGGTGTTTTAGGGTTGTAGATAAAGCCTTATGATTGACCAAGGTATGGGGAAACTTACCTTTGTTTGTTTATAGTTGTATGTTATATGTGTTCTTAATTATCTTAACTGGTAATCCTTGTTTTGATACATGTGTATATGATTATGATTATCTACGATTATTGTTGGGTAAGAGTTTGTGTATGAATGAGCATAAGGTTTATGTAATATTTGTGATGAATTTTTCTTATGAATGTATTATGTATGTTTTGTAGGGTTATCCCAACAAAACAGCCTCGCACCAGTAGCTTTGTGTTGGAGAATTTTCATCTTTTTGTTCTTATTTGTAAGCATTATGCTTAGTTAGTTATACTGATTGAAACCCCTATTTGGTACTTTTATCGGAGGCTCTTTTGCACCTTATTATTGGGGGTATAACATGTCAATGATTGAATCTGGATGATTCAAGTGATGTATTATATGTGTTTGAATATGTTTACATAAGTATGTGATGCTTGAGTGCATGTATGATGTGTTAACTATGATTCCACATGATCTAGGGTTGATGTATGTATGTTTGAATGCTTGAATCATGTCGATGATGTGTTTTGATTCGGCAATAATCGATTATCATTACTTATAATCAGTTATCTACGTGTTGATTTTGAGTGTGGTTTCGAGAGTAATCAATTATCTGGGATTATAATCGATTATCCCTTCCTGTGTGATGTTTCTGGGTAAATTTCACTTAGATAATCGATTATCTTAAGTGATAATTGATTATCATAGTACATTTTGGTGAAAAATGACGAATTTGATGAAGAATGGACGTGAACCAAGCCTAAGGAGCTGTGGAACATGATGATAATTAGAGATTAAGGTTAATGGTTATGTTTAGGGTCAGTTTGACTTGTGGTTGAGAGTGAAGCATGACTGAGTGTTGGGATGTACCTGAGTATGTGATTGATGAGCATGAGAGTGGGGGATAAGTCTACTTTTGTACCTTGTAAATCATGGTTCTATCTGTGAATATGTGCTTCCTTTTGCCTTGTGTGTATTGGAGGGAAATGATCTGTAGGGAAGGCTACAGATGTCCTA